TTTTCGACTAAAACACAATCCAAGCTGAATCAAATCAGATCGAATCAAATCATTTCCTCAATTCAAGCAGAACAAAGAGAGCGGCTGCGAATCAGAAACAGAAACAGACACACATATCCCAGGGATAAACAAAAACAAATAGTTGAATCAACAAGCTGCCAAAGTAAAAAGATATTAATTAGTCAGCTTGGCAGAGGAGGAGGTAAAAGCAGAAATATATGAAGGGGTATATACTCTCCAATGAGAAAACCCAAACACGTTCCACACATCCGATTCCGATTCCCGGTCTTCGCATGGTTGGGGATCCATGAATTATGCAGCCGGCATACGGATAAAATATAATTTAAAATATGGAGAAAAATAATTGCAAGTATCCATAGTATTTGTAAAAAACAAAATTCTTTAAAGAGCTCTAGGAAGTACATAATCAGTGGGATTAATCTCATGGGGTTTTCTTTTTTGTACCAAAAATATAATATATAATTTATTAACATCTAATCACTGATATTTTTTCTTACCGTGTGGTAATGATTTATTAAAGAATAGCAATGCAATTGTCGGGTTGTTGTTGTTGCCTGTGGTATTAAAGACCTGTAGTTATAGAGTCATTAGACAAAAGAACTGTGTCACGAGCCATTTCCTTGGCCAAGTGGAAGGAAGCTAGCGGTAACCGAGAGACAGAGAGAAATATGAAGGGGATTCGACTCGGAAAAAGTCTCCCGATGGGTAGGAGGGAGATGCAGAAGTAACAAACTTGTCTCAAGACTCCTAGCTCTTCATGTTGGTCCCGCATTTTTCCATAACTCAGCTCTGGACTCGGCTCAGATTCCGAATCGGATGCAAACTGAATTCGAATGGATTTTATTGGATGGGATGGGATGGGATGCCGCCATGAGAGATTGAGAGTGGGAGGAAATGGAAGTGGACAGACGACGGCAACAATGCGGAAATGTTAATTGGATTTACTGTGGCATCCATGTGGGTGGTTCTCTATAACATATATCTCTTATTTCTCTCTCCTGCAGAGTTCAGAGTTCAATGCATTCATTGACAGCGAGGCCCTCTTTTGTTTGTTTGTGTTTTTTTTCTGTCAACAGTTAAAGCTGCCTGATACAACACCGATTGCGGGTTTAGTCACAAAAACAAAAAGTTGACGCGGCCAGTTTATGATTCAGATTTTGAGGTATTTCCTCCCCACCACTGTTGTGCTTCTTTTATAGTGCATCAGGCTGAAATACCTGGAATTGGTTTTACCAAACTTTTAGTCATCATAAAAATGCCAAAAGCAAAACCAGAGCAACGATATGTAAACAAGGGACCAAGGGCTATCTCTCTTCTTCCGCCCTAAGTACAGTGAAGCTTACATGAGAGACACTCTAAACTACTCCAGACTACATTTCTTATATTTCTTCTTTTTTTGTATATCCTCAATATGTATAATTTTATTAATTACTTTCTTTGGTGATGTAATGAATAAAACTTCAAGAGTTAAGACTGTAATTTAAGGCTGATAAAATGGAAATGGGGCACTAAAAAAAACAACAACAATAAGTAGAAACAGCAGATTGTCTGTTTGTTTAATAACCAAAGCAAATCGTAAAGCACAGGATGACATGTGTGTTTGTTTGTTTTTGTTTTTTCTCTTTTCTTTTTTTGCCGGGTGTTTTCTATTCGGTTTTTTTCGGGTTTTACTTAAGTTTCTTATCTTATCTGCGAATAGCCACGCTCCCAATGGCGCGGCACACAGTGCGTGGAGCAGCTGGAAAACTGGGCTAACGGTGTTCAAATAACTGTGTCGTCACACCCTCATTTCTCCCTGTCCCCTGTCCCCTGGCGGCTGTCCCTGTGCCCCTGTTCTAATGCAACAATTACGAAATCTGCGTTGCATGCGGCCATCGGCCATGTGTTTTGATTTGGTTTTGCCCAAGGGAAAAGAAGACGATAGGCGAATACAAAAGATACTAGGAGAATAAGAAAGAACAACACAAGACGAAAAGGGAGAAGGAGGAGGAGAAGGAGTAGCAGGCAGCGAGCGGCATGCAAATTTGACCAACATTGTGCCTTTCCATTGTACAGTGGAACTTCCGGAATACGACTAAGCATATGGTTTATACCACCAGGAAAATTGGGCTACTAAAAAAGTATATTTTCTCAAGGAATTAATAATATATTTTTTGTTAAAATTTCATTAAAATTCAGAGCTTTGGGTTTTCTCTTCTTTTTGCAAACGGGTTTCCTATTTGTTATGGCTGGTTTCGGCGGCCCTATGAGTGGAGTTGTATTGTATTGTTGGTATTTCCTTTTGTGTTTACGGGTCTTTGGCCCGCTTCATTTGGTAACGAACAAAAAAACAAAAAAAAAGCATAAAGGCCGAAATGAGTCATGGAAGTTGGCTGCCATTTCAGGGCTAAAGGAGTTGTTATTGCGATTTGTGGTTGTTGTTGGTGCTTCGGCTGCTGCAGCTGCTGGTGCATTGACATTTAAATGTTTGCAGCAGAGGCAAGTAGGAGGAGGAGGAGGAGGAGGAGGAGGAGGAGGAGGCAAAGGCAGATGAAGAGAAGGAGGCGGAATACGAGGAAGAGGAGGCATAAATTAAAGTTCAAACAAACACACGGAGCCAGCGAAGAAGATGCAGAAGAGGAGGAGTAGGAAGAGGAAGCGAAAATCGAGGCTGCCCCACCCGCACAATCTGCGCATCTCTCTCTCATTTCGGCTAGCTCCCTAGGTCTCTCTCTCTCTCTATGGCTTCGTCTCCCTCTCCTGAATTGGCAGCTTTTTGTTTGTTTTGCGGCGAAACAGGCAGCAGAAGAAGAAGAAGCAGTCTCACACAAAACAACAACAAATGCAGCCGAGAAGAAAGGGGAGCAATTAAAGCAAAGTTAAAAGTAAAGACCAGCTGCCCCACTCGCACTCCCTCCTCGGCCCTTCCCCCTCGTCTAGCTGTCCCTGTCGCTCGTCATACCCCCCACAAACACAATAAAAACAGGTTTTTAAGCCAAACGGAGAAGAGGAAGAAGGCGCAGCAACAGCAGCGCCAGTAGAAACATTAACGACAGCTGTTTTTTAAGGGCCTGGCACTAATTTGTGCAAACTCAAGCGCCTGAATTAAGTAAATAGTGTATAAACAAAAAAATATACTGTCCAGAAATTGCACTCACACACACAGACACGCCAACACTAGCACAGAAAGGAGAGGTGCGCAAAAAAGGGCGTGTTTGTATAGGAAGAAGAAGAGCAGGGGCGGCAAGGGAAGCAAGGAAATTGCAAAAAAGTGAAAAACATACTTAAATATAAACGAAGGAAGCAAGAGAAAACATGTACAATTTCTGGATTAAAAATAAATATTTGCAAAAACAGAGGAACTTACCACAACATTTTGGTCGATTCCGAAATCCACAGCGAAAATGCTTTAGTGTTTGTGCGGCGTCTGCTCCGCTTTTGCTTCTTCTTCTGGTTCCGCTGCTGCTGCTGCCTCCTCGGACCAGAAAGAAATGCGAGAGACAGAGAGGGTGCGATAGTTGCAATTTCACCTCTCTAGTAGTTTAAAAATTAATTGTAATTCTGATTTAAATATTTAATTTAAATGCTTTGTGTTTTCGGTTGCACCGCACACACACACACACACACACGCCCGTACCGAAACAAAATTGAGTGAACGAGTGCCTCAGAGAGAGAAAAAGAGAATGGGAAGGATGAGGGAGAGAGCGCGAGAGAGAGGAGGAAGCAAAAAAAACTCCTTTTCAAGGAGTAGACACACGAATTTTTTTCGGCTCTCTTTCGTTTGCGAAATGGAGTTATATTTTGGTTTTTCCAGCAATAATAAGCAATTGATTATTATTATTATTTTGTTAATGGCAATAACTCAGCGGAGGAGTCACAAGTCACAGACACAGGCGCACACACACACACATACACGAAACGGAGGATGTTTCTTTTGTTTTTCACTGGAACTCCGTTTGCTCTGCTGTTCTTTTTGTTGCATAAAATTATTTATTTAAGACACACACACTCACAGCTACTCTTCGGTGATTGGCGGTGACATTTTCCGCGACAGCACCAAACAAATCAAAGGAAAGGCGGCGTTTTTCCTCGTCCGACAAAAAACAGTCCGTGTTCGTGCCTTCCGCTTTTTTTTCACCGCTTCCGACAGAGTGACCAGAGTAACCAATGGTGTGGCTGTGGTTTGGCTGCTTGAATATACCATTTAGTATGACCGTACTGAGGACCGTTTGAAAATATCATTGACTATAACATCATGTAATCGATTGTTCGATTGCGCAAAATAGGTATCAGACGTTTCTATTTGAATTGTTTTTTTTATAAATTCCGAAGTCTATATACCCTAGCAGATAGAACTCCGATCACTAGGAATTAATACAATAAAAATTATATATATTTATGTTAAAAAACAAAATTTAAGTCATTCACCTTTAGATATTATATTTACAGGCTTACATTCTAAGTTTTGCATTTTCCTTTATATGCGAAAATTGTTTGTATGACAGCTATATGATATAGTCGACCGATTTTCATAAGAATTAAATTAAATTAATTAAATTCTTGAATTATATAAAAGATCTATATCTAAAATTTGATGAAAATCTGCTGAAAACTGAAATTATTAAGTTAAGTATTTATTTTATTATGTTATAATATTTTATGGTATTAATTTCCCGATCTTTCCTATGGCAGCTATATGATATAATCGTCCGATCCGGCCCGTTTCGACGTATATACGAGTGAGAGTATATAGAAGACTAACTGCAAGTTTCATTAAGATAGCTTCAAAACTGAGAGGCTAGTGTGCGTAGAAACGGACAGACGGACATGGCTATATCGACTAGGCTGTTGATCCTGATCAAGAATATATATACTTAATATAGTCGGAGATGACTTCTTCCTTGCGCTGCAAACTTCTGACTGGAATTATAACACCCTGCAAGGGTATAAAAAAACTCATTATGAATTGTGAAACCAACCATTAAGATTTAAACTCAAGATTTATTCTACTTCCTTGATTGTTTTAATATACTTTTGCAAAGTTTGCTAATTTAATGGAACGTGTCACGTGACGGTAGAAAAATTAGAATATTTTAATAAACTAAATAAATTATGGCTCCGGAAGAGGAACCCCTCAGCATCCGATCTTAGTACACGGCATCCCGGTAGCTCTGCACAAACTGCCGGATTAGACCGGGAAGCTCCGGTGCCCGGCAAAGATACTTATGGCCGTAGTTTTTCCCGGACCCAAAGCGATGGAACTCGACGGGTCCCCAGCTGCGACTCCGGCCGTCTAGAGCGATCCTGTACAGACGGTAGCCCAGATGAAAGGGCACCACCTTATCATCCTCGGCATGGATGATCATGATGGGCTGGGGAAACTCCGTAACATGGATGTCCGACTCGAAGCGCAGCCGATTATCGTACATCGGCCTCGAGACGGTGAAGTCGAACCACGGCATATGCTTGAACATCCTGGCGAACGGATGATTTAGTATCTCGTCCCGAATGTTGGTGAACGGGCTCTCGAGGATCACTCCTCGTGGTCCACGTTCTCGCAAATTGGCTAGCTTAGCGCACATATGCGTGGCCACTCCGGTGCCCAATGAGTGGCCCCACACCACGATCGGATTGGAGGTGATATTGGCTATGTATTCGAACACCATCATGGCATCGCGCACCACGCCCTCCTCCGTGGGCGGCACGGGATCGGAGTCACCATAGCCTCTGTAGTCGAAGGTGAACACATGATAGTTGAGGTTCCTCAGCAGCTTGTATACCTCCGATCGATGACCACTGCCCCGCGAGGCTGTGTTCCCGTGGAGATACAAAACCACAGTGCCGCCGGGCAGTCGAAGCAGGCGCTCATAGAAGAGCTGCTCGTTCTCGGGCAGAACGGTGGGGAATTCGGAGCGAATAACCGAAGACAGCTCTCGCAACTCCTGCTCGCCATTTCCAACGGCGATGTCCTGCGGCTGTAGCGGCGGCTCTTCCGCCACCGCGTCTTCTACATTGAGTTCCCGCTTGAAACGTTCCACTGCGTTCCGCGGAAGGACGTGCCACACTCCAACGCGCACTCCATCCTCGTCCTCGTCGTGATCCTTGACGGTGATGTAGAAGTTCCGCGTGGCGTAGAGACCCACAGTCTCCGGCTTGGTGAGATCAAGGCCCTTGGGGTACTTAACTGGAGGGGAAAAGAGGTACTATTGTTATTAGTTCAAATAAGATACCTGAAATACTTACTGAATGTAAGAAAGAGAATGCCGCGCTGCAGCGTCACCGAGTAGCGAAAGATGAGGGGGAAGGCCACAAATACTAGGAGGAACATCAGCATACATGCTTGCAGTGAACGTAGTCCCACCCTGCGAAAGAGGTCAGTGTGTGAAAGGCGAACAGGTGACAGGCGAGTACGGTTAAAGGGAAGAACAAGTGACAATTACAACGTGAAGGATGATATGGGACGAGCTGGTGTGATGGTGATGAGCGTGTTGTGGGAATCAGGGGATATATACATTTAAGGAGCAAGCAAAAGCGCATATTACGAATGTGTACAGAAGCGGAAACGGAATCGAGCCGGCAATATCCGCTATATAGAAATATGTCACGATCATTCAAGTAATGGGATCTCGGGATATATAGTTATATATATCTACAAAATTTTAATTAAGCACAACATCGAATCGAGCTTGCGAGGATACTTACAGACCAGTTAGCCAACTAAGTAGGATCGTTCCGGGAATGAATGTGGCATAGAAAACGGATCTTAGACAATTATGAAGCTCGTACATTGCGACTCCGTTCGGTTTTCTCAGCTTTCAAATATGTATATATATATAAATATATTTGTATATAGCTATCTAGCGATATATAGTTTGTTCTGGAAGCGATTTAACACTGAACTTGTTACTGATTTTGTGCGTTATTTGTAATGTTTTTTATGCGGAGCTTACGAGCGGAAGAAAGAGAGAAACAGAGAGTTCTAGGTTATTGCTTGGTTATATAAAAATTGTATTTGTTTTTAAGTTTTTGGGGGCTTCCCTAGGACGCATGCAACACCTAACCGAACCCGAGATCTGTTCCTCCGGTGAGCAGCTAACAATGGCGACGTGGGGAGTAAGGAAGAGCTATGATATATAGGCAAAAATATAGTAAACTTTCAAATTTCCAAAATTTAAGTATCAATCTGGTATTTAACGTAAGAGTATCTGTATTATCGACAAAAAAATCGACAAATAATTTAAATTTATCTTTTTCACGATATATTTATCGGAGTTGATGTATGACTGGTTCGATGATCGGTGTGTTATATGTACTAGCAGTAACTCGATTTTAATGGGTTAAATGATTCAATGGAAATCAAATTGAACAGCATATAATAATCTTTAACCACATTTTAAACTAATAATTAAACACTGACTAAAATGGAATATTGAAAGAAACGCTATTTGAAACTAATCCTAGCGATCGTCACAATATAGTTCAAAGGTTCACAAAAAAGTGTCTGAATGACCGATAGAAAGCCTACCGCTTGCTGGACTTCCAAAAAGCTTACTACACACTATCTACGAAAATGGTATCACACGACAGCAAGCATTACTACAAAAATTAAGCAGCTATCAGTAATTGCATCACTAATTATTACAATCCTCTGTTTGTCGACACTTTTTTGATCACTTTCGCTAACTGTCCATAAAATCGAGTCACCGTACTGGGTCAGCGGGCTTTGTGATAATGATAATGGGCGGTATAATGATATCAGATATGAGCGCTACTCGGGCGTGACTAATATTTTGCTGTTCGGGGGAAATCGGAAGCAAAACTACGGAAGCGGATTCATCGGGTCGGTTAATCGGGAATCTCGGGACACAAATAACAACAGTAACAACGGGCAAGCACACACATAGATACAGTCACACACACCTCTTGAGTTGTCGCCGGCGCGTGAAGAGCATAACTGCAAAGAGCCAGGAAAGAGAGGTACATAAAAAGGGTATCAGTGAGTCGGCCATGCCAAGGTCAAGTCAAAAGAACCGCCAAACAGTGCAAGCCGTTATCGGTGTTATCGACGATCGCTTATCGATCGTTTCCGCTTTTATAAATTCGTAATCAGAAAAAATGTAGAAAGTTAGCTTTGTTTAAATGCCGGATAAGCGCAACTACTTGGAGCAACGACACCCGCAAACTGCTGATCGTCGCTGTACAGTCAGCGATATTTTTTTTGTTCGCCATAACTGCAATAATGGCTTGCACTTGCGTCCAATTAACGAATAAATTGGCCTGTTACTCTTACTTGAAAGAGAGCCGAGCCTCTGGTCAGGTTAATAGAAGCAGAGCGAAATGCGGTCTGGAAAGTCTCTCTATACCAGCGGCAGCATGCTGACCTGTAGGATAAACAAGCGGAAAAGTATAAGTTTAAGATGGGTGTGGCCTGGGGGGGTGGTGGTGGGTGCCTGTTCAGGGAAAACTAGACTAAGCGCCAGGAAAGTTAGTTGGCTGGCCACGCACACTCCCTGTTTCTAATCTCATTAACCCATAACAATACCACCCTCACATTTAATTGGCGTGTCCATTTTTATGTAATTTGTTTGGGAGCGATATTGACTGAGTACCAAGCTTTCCAGGACCAACTTACCACTCACGCGCCAGCAACGGCCAAGTACCTTTTCCCTTTCCTGTTGTCCCGACTGAAAAAGACCTGGAAAACCTTTTTTTCGGTTCTTTATGCAGCAATTAAGGCCGCTTTTATGATTTGGAATATTTTCTGCTAAAACAGCTGTCAATGTTGTTATTGACTATCGATGAGAAGTTAGAGATGGCAAAGTGATGGGCTCTCACTATCGCGATCCCCATCGTCTTCACGGCATATTTGCATAATTTGTAAAAGTCGATACATTTGTTATTAACTTTTGAAAATTATGTAACTCCCATTAGTTTTTCCAAGTAAAATAATATGTATATTTTATAAACAAGATCTACATATAAATATATTATAATATTAGTCAGAAGCTTCTGTGGCTGTGAAGGAATCATTTCCGACCCTATAAATCATATATATTCTTGATCAGCATTAACAGGCGAATCTTTCTAGACATAACGAAGAGAAAATAAATTTTTGCCAATTTCTTCAATATTTTATAAGGGGTTACATCGTTAAAATTGGAAAAAATTGTGATTTTTTTACATTTTAAATTGAGTATGCAGATTTATTACTCTAGTGAAAACTAGCACAGGGCTGTTTTCCGATTTAAAATTAATGTTGAATAAATTGTCATATAAAAAAATAAATTATATCGACTAAAAAATGGTATTTAGGCTTTAGTCAGAAGCTTGTAAATATGTGAAGGAGTCATTTCCGACCCTATATGATTCTTGATCAGCATCAACAGGCCATAAAGGAGAGAAAATAAATGTTTGCCAATTTTTTCAACATTTTATAATTGGTTAAAATTTGCAACAATTGTTATTTTTTTACATTTTAAATTGAGCATGCAGATTTTTTACTCTACTCAAAACTAGCACAGGGCTTTATACATATTAAAATAATTTGAAAAAGCTTTTTATAAAAATAATGCATCAACCGGTAATACGTTTTCAAAATACCAAATACACACCATAGCACTATCGATATATCGATATATATATATTAGTTTAAACGTCCGCCCCTAAGAGTTTGTTTTTTTTCGCTGAGAAACAAAAGATTTTTGCAAATTACTAGAAGGCAGTCAGCAGATTAGATTAGGTCGGCAGGCAGCAGCAGCAAGCAGCAGGCGAGGATGAGGAGCGCGGAAGAGATCAAGGCGGAGTACCCGCTGCACTGGCACATCTGGCACAACGAACTGGAGCAGCTGCAGGCGGCCATCGACCAGGTGAGTGAGCAAAGAGCGAGACGGGGTGGGTGGGCGCGCACAGGGTGGGTGTGGCCTCCAGGGCCAGGTGCTAATTGAATTAGCAGGGGCCGGGGAATTCTAGCCGATGATAACAGCAAATGATTCGCCATCTTGCAGAACGATAAGGAGAAAATCGATCCTCGCGGCCGGACGCCGCTGATGCTAGCGGTCCGGGTGGCGAATCTGGCCTGCGTCAAGTGCCTTTTGGCGGCCAAGTGCAATGCCACCTACGAGCACGAGGGCTGGTCCAGTGAGTACTAATCTTAACACATCAAAAATCTCCATTAACTCGAGTTATTCACGCTTTGCAGTTGTCCAGGAAGCCGTCTGCACGGGAGATGTGGACATTCTGACTGCCATTATCGAAGTGCGGGATCTACAGCGCCATGTTCAGCGAGTAACGCATGTGCCGAAGCTTCTGCAGCATTTGCTGGACGCTCCCGACTTCTACATCGAGATGAAGTGGGAGTTCACCTCCTGGGTGCCCCTAATGTCTCGGCTCTGTCCCAGTGATACATACAAAGTGTACAAGAGGGGAGCCAACGTGCGGATAGACACAACGCTCTTGGGCTTCGACAACAACACTTGGCAAAGGGGCAATCGTTCGTACATCTTCAAGGGAGCCAGTAAGTTCAGTAAATTAAATGTTTGAACCTCTCAAAAACCCTTCCCTTGCAGAAGAAACTGCCACCATGATCGAAATCGATCACGATACGAATGAGGTGATGGTGGAACAGATGAGCAGCGATATTGGTGACATTGTGGCCATTCCGCCTGCCTTGGGAACGGTGAGAGCACGTCTCAATGCACCGGTGATCACCAACAACATCGAGATGGACAAGATCAGTTTCGAGCGGAACAAGAGCGGGATTTGGGGCTGGCGCAGCGAGAAATCTGAGGTGATCAATGGCTACAATTGCAAAGTGTATGGTGCCAGCAATGTGGAGTTTGTTACCAAGACGCGAATGGATCATCTGAGTGAGGAGCAGATTAAGGTGGGTCCGAGCTCTATTAATTGCATATTACCATAATATATTTTCTTGCTCTTTTCTTTCATTTGTAGAATAAAACGTCGCGGACGCCGCTGCACAGTCTGCTGGGCATTGCCGATGAGGACTATGTATCCCCCGCCGATGCCGCCGCGGCGCTCAAAGATCGGGTATGTTAATGGCCTTAAAAGTATCGAAGCATCCTTATTAAAACACCGTTTGCGTTATCCTCCTCTCTGCAGACACCCTCGCCCCGCTTGGAGGAGGAGGCTTCCCTGGTGGCAGCAGAAAACGGTGGACGATCTTCGCCAGCTCCTGGTCTGGCACAGAGCAACGGCAGCTCCGCCTGTGCCTCTGGCACCAGTACCCCCAAGTCTTCTGTCACCCCCGAGGAGTACTTTACTCCCGAAGTCGATCTACATGGCAGAGATGTTGGCGGGCCCAAAAATCTGAGCACAAAGGTGCAGCGCTTCAAGGCCAACCTGTGGCTGGCCGAGGAGCACCCGATACGGCTGCAGGAGCAAGTGCTGCCCATACTGGATCTCATGTCCACCATGGCCAGCCCGCATGTGTCCAAGCTAAGGGACTTTATCACCATGCAGCTGCCTGCCGGCTTTCCCGTCAAAGTGGAAATCCCGCTCTTCCATGTCCTTAATGCTTGTATTACCTTTGGTAATGTCTTTGCCTTAACCTCGCCCGTGGAGCATGTGGCCACGCTGCAGGAGCAGGATCGTGTGACATGCCTGGTGGATGATCGTTGCTTCGACGTGCCGGTTCACTACACCAACCGAGGCAGCGATGTGCGTCGTCAGATGCCGCTGGACGAGGACGACATGCTGCAATACGCCATCGAGCAGAGTTTGGTCGAGACGAGCGGCGCCTGTGGCGTGGACGCCAAGGATGACGACAAGGTAGACATCTGGGAGGTGCTAAGGGGCCAAAACGTGGTGGGCACGGATCTTCTACCCGAGGATGACGAGCAACTGCAGCGGTAAGTTCAGGGGAAAATATGCACAGGGGGTTTTCAAACTACTTTCTGGTTTGTTCATGGTCGCCACAACTAATGTCTGCCCCATTGCCACCGCTAGTCACCAACGCTACTCCTCGCACTTGCTCTCCCCACACCGCCAACAGTACGGGCGGTACTCACCCTCGCCCAAGCACCATCCCCAATCCTTTCCCCACTCCCAGCTCCTGCTGGAGCCAGAGAGCCGAGGACGTTCCGCTTCGGCGGGGGCTCAGTTCAAGAACGATTTGGGCTACATGAAGAAGATCTTCAAGTAGCACAGAGAATCCCCAGTCTCCCCTATCCTTTGTATTTGCTAGTTTTGATCCAAGCTTTGTGTGTGTGCCCTTGTGCTCCTTTATCCCATTCGCAGAGTGCTGCAGGAATCGCTATTGGGTGCCAGTGCAAATCCCCAAAGCGGGTCACCCGCATCCGAAGAGGACGACGACGACGGCGGCTTCCGGTTTATAGATCCCGATCTGGCCATGGCCATGCGCCTGTCGCAGCAGGACCAAAGGAAGTACGAGCTGGAGCGACAGCAGGAGCAGGAGATGATCGAACAGGCGTTGAAGCTGAGCCTGCAGGAGCACTAAGATCCTGCCAGCGATTCCAAATTGAAGTTCTTCTTTCCCTTCTACTTCTGATTTCTATTTAGTGTAAACACTTTGGACTAAGTTGTATAATATAATACGAGCCTACTTTAAGTTCCCCGTCGTCTGCAGCCCCCTCCAAGTCCTTGTTTTGAATTGTGATACAAGCGGGACTCAAGCGGCAAGCGGAGCTCGTCACACTCGTCCACACTCGCAAGCAAAGGATCGTATCCCCCCATCCGACACTAACACCACATGTATCCAAAGTAGTCCTCGTAGTCGTGTAGCTTTTGCAAAAACGTGTTTAGTATCTAGTGTCTCCTAAAGTTAAGTGCGTGTGGTAATGGGAACATACATAACACATGTCGCATATCCTCCGCTTCGGCCCGAAGATAGTGTCCTTAAATTAAAAGCAATATAAAGAGTAAGAGGTGTAACTCAATCAGCAGAAAACGTTCATGTTTCGAACTCTTAAGTATCGTAAATGCGTGCAGGTATTCTTAAGCATAAAAGTCTGCGCGTTACGCTCCTTATTCTTTATGTTGTCTTTGCTTAAACTGTATTCACTAACCATTAGCATTACCCATAATTTATAATACTAATCAACGCAACACCCTTACACCAAAGACAATATAAGGAATAGGATTCGTAATGGAAGTAATTTTTAGTGTACGCATCTTATTCCATATATCGCTCTTGGTCACACACGCATCTCACCTCTTTGTGTAAATGAGAAAACAAAAAATATACTATATATACATATATGAAATATGCAATATGAAAATGTGAGTTTATATTTTAAACTTAGTGTTTATTAAGCGCTATATACACAGTTAAAAACCGGGGACATAACTTAGGCTAATTAAGCAAAACACAATTTAAAAAGTCTTGAGTTCGATTTGGTATAGCTGACCCACAATCATTTCTTTTCTTATTCAAGAAGCCAAGCGGAAATAGTTGGTAATCAGGCAGAAGATGCTTTATCTCCGTTGGCTTATCAGGGGCCAGACTTGGGTCAGATAGAGTATTCTATATACAAATAGGCTTGATCAGGTTTCCACACAAATCGAAGGGATTTTTAATCGATTTTAAATCACTTTTTCTATGATAAAAATATTAAAACTAAACCGAATTGGAGTTAAAATTTGTTAAAAATGTGTTTTCTAAATTTGCTATCTAAAATTTTAAAAATGAAGCTTTGATTATAAACCTTTTTCCTGTATTGCACTTTTCTAATCATTATTGCAGATTACTTGATCCTTGACTTAAAAGCATGATTGGGTGTCTAAACTTAAGCGGGGACTAAAATTCTTGTCAAAAAGCTATTGTGAAAACCGGAACAGGCCTTAATAAGTTTACTTTGTGCTTACTTCTAAGGGACATTCAGCTGGGCAATCACTCCGGGATTAGGTAAGTGTGGAGTGGCCACCATTGTCGGGAATAGGGATTATTCTTACGACTAGATGTACTTGAAGCACTTCTGCTTGTCGTGCGGGATGCGCGTCTTGAAGAGGATGGAGTCCGCCCGGAACTGGGTGTTCAGCAGCGGCGTATAGCCAAACACCCGACTGAAGAAGTTGATGCATTTGTGCCGCTCCTGGAAGTGCGTGTCGTCCTCGCTGAGGGAAACGGGGCAACCCGGACAGCGGAACGTCCACCGGGAGGTGACTTTCACGGGCGGTTTTCTCGTTATATGCGAAACCAGGAAGTTCATAGCGATATCCTCGCAGTTCATGTATTCGTCCACCTTGTCTCGGATGGCCTGCGGCAGGTGATAGGTGTAGAGGTACAGGTAGTATTTGTGCACGAACGCGGCGCCCGTCAGCACCATGCTGAGCTCGCAGCTGTAGTTGGAGTTGTAGTGCCACTGGCCATTGGGATTGCCCAGGTCCCAGGCATGATAGCGTCCGGGAAAGCCAACCACGCGGTCGCGATGTTCGCGCCACACACGGAACCCAAAAAGGATCTCGTCGTGACGGAGATGGGCATCATCGTCCACAGAGAGCACGGCTTCCGTTTCGATCACATCGAAGGGCAGGAAACGGTTGTTTAACGAGTTCCTGGGAGCTCGTAAAACGGCCACCGGTACTCCAATATCCGGCCAGCGTAGTTCATCCAACGGTGGCTTTGGGGAGTTCCACACTACGACGACTTTGTGCAGATAAGGCAGTCCGTACAGCCGTCCCAGCGAATCCATAAGGACCTGTTCCCGTTCATAGGTCAACATGACAATCGTAAACTGTTCCCGTGGGTAATTGCCACCAAGAGCTTCGCTAAACTCCTTGCCCGCTCCGCCCAAGCCCTTGCCAATAGGACGGAAGCCGGTGTGAGAGCCCAGGAACTTGGCCTCCGATGGCACGGCCGGATCAAAGGGCAGCTGCGGGTACAGGTAAAAGGGATCCAACCAATCGTTCCACGCTTCCTTGGCCTGGGTCCGTAGAATGGTGTAGTTGCGGCGAAACGAGGGACTGGGGTAGGGTGGCTCTATGGGACCCAGCGATTCCTCGGGTTCCGTATCCAAACCGACGGGAGGATCGGATTTCAGGGGTATGAAGGTGCTATTGAACACACTTTGTGCTATGATCGGTGGTACTGGTCTCGGGGGGATTCCCAGGCGATCTCGTAAACTGGCTATTACCGTATCCACGGTGGCCTGCACGGAGCTCAGGTACCGCTCCCAGATAAGTCTGCCTTGTCGGCGCAGCAGCAGCAAATCAGCATCTTGCACGGCTCTTAGCAGAAAGTGCAGCTCCGTAATCCTTGCCTTTGGCAGCAGCAAAGCTGCTCTCCTCCAGTCTAGGGTTTCAGCGTAAGGCAGGCGCAGCTCATCGGCTCCCAGGATCACGGGAACAGCTCCCGAACGCAAAGCTTCATAGATTCTGGCCAGCATAAGGGTGGAGGACACTCGACCATTCATTGGAGGAAGAATCAAGGTAAAAGTGGAATCCTTGAGCAGCTGCCGACGCGACGAATCGGATCCGCAGAGCGTCCAGTCTGGCAGAGAGTCGCCCTCCTGCTGCTCCGTAGCCGGGACGCACTGGAATTGCAGCACAAACTGATCCTGCGTAGCTCCCTTGGCCATATCAGTCAGATGGTCCAGTATAAAGGCATCCAAGGGAGGTAGAGTGCTCTGTTTGGGTCTCAGTTCTCCCTGGAAGGAGAGCAGGTACTTCCTGCGAGCCGGCACCATACCGGCGCACTCCTGCCACACGTCTCCACCTGGCGGACCCAAAATGGGTGGCACTATGAGGTCGTAACCCGGACGGAACTGATCCCTTTCGAAGGCACTCTGCACCACAAGGGCTCGCATGGTGTTCTGCTTGTACAGCGGATTCGTGCGGTGTGAGGTTAGATCCCTTCTGGCCAGATTCAGCAGCACATGGTTGCGTCCGTCGCCGCCCCAATAAGGCAGCTTGTAAAGCTTCTCCATATCCACCGGACAATCATTGGCATGAGTGGGTATGGTGGGCTGCTGCTGCTCTGCCTCCTGCGCCGCATACCGATTGTTACGCAGCAGATCCTGCTCCAGGAGTGCCTCACCCACCAGCACTAGATATATGCACGCTTGCTTCGGATCCTTAACGATGTGGGCATTGTATCCCAGCGTCTGCTTAAGGGTTGTCTTCAGGAAGCCATCAATGTCGTAACCATGACGCTGCACGCTGTGCTCATCGGGATCGTAGAGGTAAACGGGAAATCCAGAAGTAAGGCTGCATCTCGAGTGATTGAAGCAGTTGTGCATCTCGCAACTGGCTGCCATGCCCGCCGTTATGGGATTCATCTTTCTGGGCAGTGTGTTTGGTAGCAGGGAACGGGGCAAAGCCAGGTCTGGTGTATTCCGCTGCACTGCCTCTCTCTGGGCCACCTGTGCTTGCTCCACGGAGATCTTCAAGCGCTCCAGCTCTGTTTGCTCTCTGAGGAGTTCTTGCTTCAGCTCCTCGATCTTCTGGTTGTACTGACTGATGTCCGATTGCAGCTTCTGCCGACGGGATTCCAGTTCGCGCAGCTCCACGGATACGGTGCTCTTAAGTTGGATAGAATTTTATAATTTTGTTAATTATGGCTTCTAGGGCTTTCTGGGCGCTCACCTTGATTCTAACCATCTCTTCGATACGCATTTTGAGATCGCCTGCTCGCATGGCACTGAAATCCTCATAGGCATCTAGGAGAGGTGAACTGCGGTGGACATCCAACGGCGGGGCATCCTGCTCAGACTGTATATAATAAATATATCAGAAATTGAAAGGTAACTGCTGTAAATCATGGATTCCTACACTGAGTATACGGTACGCCATGCAGGAAACCAGGAGCAAGAGCATCAGCAGCAGAGCGGGCACCTTGTAGCGACGACACATTCGCGACATTTTCAATCCCGTGGCGTGTCGCTGCGGTGCAGCGGTGGCGGCCTCCTTGGTCTCCAGCGGGTGATACGACGTCCCCGCGGATTGGCCCAGGTCATATGCCGGTGACATGGCATCGGCTTCAACTCGCTATTGCACGGAATTCACGCATTTATGTTGGGTTACTCCGTTTTTATTGCTATTTCATTGATAAACGCGACTATTGTTGCTGTTTTGCGGGACAGGGCTGTCCACTTAACCAGTGCCGACGACCAGAGTTATCGGTAGACGATAACATAGTAATCGGTGCTGTCAACTTTTTAATAAAGTAATTTTTAAAATACTTATTAAAGAAAAGAATTATAAGCATTTCTATTTAAAATGTAAGACGTAAAAAAAAATGTTCGCCTAACCATTGCGAAGTCTGCTTTATTTGCTTGACTTAACCGCTGAACTTTCAAACATTTCCCAAAGCAAAATAACAGTGGCTTAACATTTTCAAGTCTACCAGTGCTGCCACTTTAGAATTTTTATTGCTAGATGTGGCAACAATTCAAAAAATGAGTTCATTTTTGTAAAATTCTGTGGGATACAAATGTAGCCAATAAAATTCTTTGTTCGAATTGAAAATATTAATTTTTTTAAGTATGGTATTTGTAAAACTTTAATTTGCCCATAAAAATATCGATATGAAGTGCAAATTTAAAATCTAGCATTTAATGCTTCAAAGATTCTGGCATCACTACCGCTAACAGCTGAATTTTAAACGCGACTTGACATTTGTTTGTTGTTGTGATTTGAATGATTTTATTTTTAGTCGCGTCTAAAATTCGCACTGTGCGGAGTCGGTTTCGCAACGCGTTCGTTTTTGTTCTGTGTGTGTGGCGGTCGGATTTGTTTATTTTGTTTTGAATAAACGCTTGGAACGATTCTTAATTGTCACAAGATGACTGGAAGCATTTATTAACGAGCTTTACTAAAAAAAGTGTTCCTTAAGTGCACAAATTTCAAGCACCCTCTTAAAATTTAAATTTTATAGTCCCGCCGCAAACCGGACTCCTCCTGCGCGGAAAATTCGAAAATGGGTAAGTACGCAAACGAAAACGCTTCAATAAATATTTATTTACTGTCGTCCGCTGACATTTTCACTTTCTTCCATTGATTCTTTTCTTTGCTTTGGGCCTGGTCTGTCTGGGTTTTGTGGGCCAGGCCTTGAAAGTGAAAGCCGCACGAAAGGAAAATAGACATGAGTACATGCCATCAATACCCTAACACTTAAAGCACTTAAAGGTGTGATATTCCATGGTTGATCTTTCGCATAATGCATTTTATTGATTTAGAACGGTAACGGTATCATGACTAATAAGCTAACAAAGAAAATAGCGTTAAATATTTTACAAGTTATTTTGACCTTTAAAAACAAAATTGCAATTGGTAAATGCCAGAGACCTTTAAACATGGGATCTTTTCATATTCAAACTAAATTATTAATATTTCTCACTTTTATGGGCTAGTGAACGCTGTAAAAGTAAACAGATGATAATTATTTTTATTATGTTATTTTAGTAATTCCATCTTATCAATTGGGAAACACAAATGAAATTTCCTGATAACCTTAGTTTGTGTCTGAGTAGTTCAACTAAATAGTTCGTTCTGGATGAGGGGAGAAAATGATTAACGACTCGTTTGCTGGTGTTTTGTAATTAATTATAAATAATAATGGGGACCCTTCACAGTTGACGAAAACGAGAAAAACCAGAATCTTTAAATAATTTTGATAAGATTAGAAGAATGATTTAATACGTTATTATTTGTGGGTGCATTTGTGCACTCTTGCATTTTTACTGATAAAAAAACAATAACATACAGATATTTTTTGCCTAAAATATTATGTACAAATTAATTGAAAAGGTATCTGGCTTATTTACCTTTATTGACGGGCTTGCTAATATTTTAACTGATAAAAAGAACAAAGATGGGGGTGAACTTTGATATTAAACACTTGATAAAGAAGTTTTTGGCCCACAAAAACTTTGACAATTAAATATATAAATATATATATATATATACATATATATAAATAATTATGACTTCGATACAATCTAGCATACTAGCCCTGTTTATATTTAGGATCTGGAACTACCCATCAATTTAAGTCAACTTATTTTTAGGGGGAGGTTTGTGGAACTTCCGCCTTTCGTTCCCTCCCAATCAAGACTAATTAAACTCCAGTTTGAGAGCTACGACCAGAAAAACTTAATTGAAACTTAACTCACACTTCCTCGGCCCTTGGTCGTAAGCACAGTAAAACTTTGGTATAGCGAACCTCATAAATATTTATTTATCATTGTATTTTATAATTTCGGAGTATAAGGCGTATCCAAGGACATCAACGATGTGATATTAATTTCTTCAGCGTTAAAACTCTTAATCTGAAAATGGAAGTAATCATTCATCCCTTTGGCAAGATTTTTGACATATATTTATATTATTTAAGCTTTTCTTATGGGTAATAAAAACCCCATTTTAAATTATCTTTTTTCTTGTGACAGTAATTATAGATGATAAATTTATTGCATATTTGATTTCAACAAAATGCATTTGAGCGGCTAGACAAAGGAAAATCAAAATAAGGCTAAGACTCATTCTCTAATCACAAGAATATATGTATTTCTTATCAATTCGATAAATACGAGTCCCATGGAAGTTCTTGGTCCAGTCTTGTATTAAATTGGTTAGTGAAAATACAAATTTTAGCGGTTAATAAAATATATTTTGCAGTTAATTTTTCTCTAATTATGGCTGGTAAGAAAAACTTTTGTTTTTATATTTATTAGCTCCTATTTAAAATTGCTTTTATTTTTTATGAGAACTTTAATCTCTCTTCTAGAACTTAAGATCTAAAATGTGTTAAAATGGGGAATTTAGGGAAGCTTCATCGTATTTTCTATTCGATTCGCTGCCGTTGACCCCGAATGGCGAAAAAGCAGACTGTTTTTTGGATTTGGAGCAAAGCGGCTTCGCCAGCGGCTTATCGGCGGACTGAGTGCGGGTAAGGGGTGAGAGGAGGGGCGGAGAAGGGGCTTAATTAGGGGCACATTCAGTGCAGTGACGGTGCGTGTCTTCCGCCACCCCCTGCTCTCCCGGAACCGCGCACATTCAGCTACCCCCGCCAAGTCAACCCTTCGACCTTTGGCGACCGCAATTGCCTTGCCGCACACGCACACACACACACACTAATGACACATCCGCCGTGGGCTTCCGCGGATCCGGACTCTCGCTTACGGATTCTCGAATTCCGGATTCAGTCGCTGCTGACTGTAGCCGCAAGAAACTGGCTCGCTCCGGTGGACAAAGGCAATAAAATAATAGTGCGGGCCACCATTTGACATGCATTTGAGGATCCGCCTCACGTGTCGCAAATATGAAATTTGGGGTAAGCACACAGAGCAAGCTCTCTGATTGGCACACTTGGCCCTGCTCCGATTCCGATTGCTGGCTGGGATCGCCGCAGCTGGTTCTGCTCTGCCCTCCATTCTCATGCAAATGCAGTGCGTAACGGTGCATCGCCCGCTGTGCCCGGCATTTTTAATACGGGAGTTAGCGCTTTATGCACATTATTCATGCTTAAAAGCCCAAAGCGGCCCAAGTGCAACCTCAGTCGAAATCGGTGTGTCGTGGGTGTCGAGTCGCAGCACAGCAGGATAGCAGTGATCGCAGTGAGCCCCCTTATCACCATGTGTAAGCCCGTTGTTACCATTTTGCTAAAAGCCGTGTTGGTGATAAAAACAACGCCCGCGAAGGCGGTACCAATACTCGCGACTAGTCATTAACTAGTGACTTAAGGCCTAACAAAACATATTAGTTCATATAGTTATTATAACAAATTTAAAAATAATTCCAACAGTTAGGAGTATAATGTTGGAACTTCATAGAACATAGAACAGGTTCAAAAAGGTTTCATAAATGGAAAGAATACCTCAGGAGAGTTAAACCTTACAAGGCCATAAGACAACATTATAAATATAATAATAAAAATAAATATTCTTTAAATTCTCATCACTTGAATTTACTTGCACTCAATCTGTGTTTGTGTTACGATTTTAAACCAAAAGTTTTCTATAAAAGTTAAGGGCACAAAAAACAGATTTTCACTTTTTCTAATAAAGAAAAATGTCTGTTCTTTAAATCATAGACTACAATTAATTAGATCTGGAGCTTGGAGGAGTATCTTAAATAGCCCTTGGTAAAGCACTAAATCAATATTTAATTTGTGTAAAAATCTATAAAGAAAAAACTGCTTTCTTCGGTCTTTCCAGCATAAATTAAATATGGAAATAAATTGAGACTCTGCCAAGCAATTTGTTTAAACTTTTTAATGATGTTTTGGCATTACTGTAGACCGTAAAGTTTGATAAATACATACAGCTGTAGGAAATATTTCGATAAGAATCTAAAATTGCTTTATTTTTATGAGCTTCCGGTAGAATTGTTTAACTCGAATTCGATTTTAGGTGAAATCGTATTTTTATTTAAAAACCCCTGACGTTTTCATAAGATAATATGTAATTAAAGTTACTTGGGGGATATCAATATATTTCTTTATCACTTGATTGAGAAAGGCTTACATTAGTAATGTCGAAGAAATTTTCTTATCATTTAAATTATTTGAAAGTCTACAAAATGTTTACAAAAGAACCTTTATTAATTCAGATTTTTCTTATTTAATAACCCCCAGGAAATTATATAATTATTAAAATGATTTAAAAATCTTGCTTCTCAGAACTTAAGACTTTTAAAAGTACATGGTGATACTTTTGTTAAACATTTTAAATTTGTGTTAAATTATATCAATGTCTGATTAAAAAATAAACGATTTCAGACATAAATCGAATCGATTGCCAATCGATCCGCTCTATCGGCCGTTGCCCATTTGAGGTAGCTTTCCTGTGAGCTTTTTTTACCCTTTTCGTATCTTTTTGACCGGCGACAGACAGCTTTTGCGTTTAGATTGTGCGGCAAAACTTGTCAGAAGCGATAAATACATAGATTTAGGAAGTAAAGTTTTTTCTAGTCAGTTTCCCGCCGACAAGCAGACGTGCGAGAACTTTGCAAAGTTCACTCTGCTTTTCCCCCTGTTTATGGGTATTATGGGATTGTGGCGCTTTCTGAAATGTTGGTGTTTGTTTTTTACTTGTTAATGGAAAAACGTGTTTAACTGGAAAAACAATGTGCCGACATTTGCATACGAGCAAAATCAAAACAAAAGCCGCAGAAAATAAAAGAGAATAATAAGAACAAAACAAAAACAAAACCGAACCCGAAATCTAGGCGAAGAATGATGACACATGCTTGCGTGTGTGTGTATGTACTATGAGAGAGCTTTGCTGAGAGCACCTTGAAAGCTCGTCTCTCTTACTTCTGGCTTTTGCTTTGTTCAGCTCATTCGCATTGTTCGGCGCCCATTGCTTTGCCCCCGATCGTTACTGCTACCGTTATAAAATAAAGTTTCCAATTTCCATTTCCGTTTCCCTCCGTCTCGTTTCGCTTGGCCCGCGGAAAACCCTTTTGAATCAAGTGAGTATGAATATCGCGAGGCTTTTCTCTGTTTAACATTACAAAAGGAAAAGCCACTGACATTGGCAAAGGCCATAAACTTTTAACATTTAATCAGTATTCCGGAAAGCTGCACGCTATGTGCGTAAGGCCGATAAGATAAGAGTTTTTGTTGATAGTTTTCGGGTTTTTTGTTGTGGAAATCAGACAAGCTTTAAAGATAATACACGGTTTTTGGAGGAAAACAGTTGAAATAATAAAAATAATAAACAGAAGTCTGTATACCCTGCAGTTTGGTCGTTAAATTTGCATTAATTAGCCAAAAATGCATTAATTTTAACAAACAATTCACATTTTTTGCGTAATTAAACGATGTAACCCCTTATAAAATGTTGGAAAAATTAGCAAAAATTTATTTTCTCTCCTTTATGGCTAGAAAGATTCGCCTGTTGATGCTGATCAAGAATATATATGATTTATAGGGTCGGAAATGACTCCTTCACATATTTACAAGCTTCTGACTCAAGCTAAAATACCATTTTTTAGTCGATATAATTTATTTTTTTATAAGACAATTTGTCCAACAAATCAAATTTAAAAAAACTCATAGCTAAGCCACAAATTCATTAATTTAAAATCGGAAAGCAGCCCTGTGTTAGTTTTTAGTAGGGTAATAAATCTGCATACTCAATTTAAAATGTAAAAAAATCACAATTTTTGTCTATTTTAACGATGTAACCCTTTATAAAATGTTGGAAAAATTGGCAAAAATTTATTTTCTCTTCTTTATGGCTAGAAAGATTCGCCTGTTGATGCTGATCAAGAATATATATAGTTTATGGGGTCGGAAATGACTCCTTTACATATTTATAAGCTTCTGACTCAAGCTAAAATACCATTTTTTAGTCGATATAATTTATTTTTTTATAAGACAATTTGTCCAACAAATCAAATTTAAAAAAACTCATAGCTAAGCCACAAATTCATTAATTTAAAAAATGTGTTAGTTTTTTGTAGGGTAATAAATCTGCATACTCAATTTAAAATATTAAAAAATCAAAATTTTTGTCTATTTTAATGATAAAATGTTGGAAAAATTGGCAAAAATTTATTTTCTCTCCTTTACGGCTAGAAAGATTCGCCTGTTGATGCTGATCAAGAATATATATGATTTATAGGGTCGGAAATGACTCCTTCACATATTTACAAGCTTCTGACTCAAGCTAAAATACCATTTTTTAGTCGATATAATTTATTTTTTTATAAGACAATTTGTCCAACAAATCAAATTAAAAAATACTCATAGCTAAGCCAAAAAAGCATTAATTTTAAATCGGAAAGCAGCCCTGTGTTAGTTTTTAGCAGGGTAATGAATCTGCATACTCAATTTAAAATGTTAAAAAATCAAAATTTTTGTCTATTTTAATGATGTAACCCCTTATAAAATGTTGGAAAAATTGGCAAAAATTTATTTTCTCTCCTTTACGGCTAGAAAGATTCGCCTGTTGATGCTGATCAAGAATATATATAGTTTATGGGGTCGGAAATGACTCCTTTACATATTTACAAGCTTCTGACTCAAGCTAAAATACCATTTTTTAGTCGATATAATTTATTTTTTTATAAGACAATTTGTCCAACAAATTAAAATTTAAAAACCTCATAGCTAAGCCAAAAATGCATTCATTTTAATCGGAAAGCAGCCGTGTGTTAGTTTTTAGTAGGGTAATGAATCTGCATACTCAATTTTAAATCAACATTTTTGACAATTTTAACGATGTAACCCCTTATAAAAATTGGCAAAAAATTATTTTCTTTCCTTCATGCCTAGAGAGATTTCCCTGTTGATGCTGATCCAGGTTTATATATATAGATATATGATTTATGTAGTCGGAAACGACTCGTTAGCTGCTTTTTTATCGTTTGGCTGAAATTATTATACCCTGCTAAGGTATAGGTATAGGGTCTGAGCTGAATGTGAGCTTATCTACCCTTTGCTAATATACACATTTATTTATGCTTATCAGGCGATTGTCAATGATATAAAAAATTAATTGATATCAGTTCATTATCTGTTTCAACTTGATGGGATATCTTTCAGACACATTAATGTGCAATTCGCACAAGTTGACAACTCTTCGGTCAGAGAAGAGTGCCAAAAGTGGAGTTACAAGTTACAAATAATTAAAATAAAAAATACATATAGAAATAAATAATGTCCTTACGTACGGAATATCTGCCTTTTACTTCCGTTTCCACAAGCACGTCTATCTATAATCGGGTTTTATCGCCTATTAGCAGGTGCAACTCACTGACAGGCCGCATTATATTCTCCATTATTGGTCGGTAACTTCCCAATAGCCTTTTTTCTGAACGCCTTTTGAATTACGTATTTGCAGCTCTCTCCTTATTCTCCCTGGTGACCGGTCTCTATGTCCTGCACTTCTCCCTAGCTCTGATCCTGGTCAACAAGGAGGTGCCCCAGACACGCGGAATGCTATATCCCAGGGAATCGGAGACGCGCGAAGTGCGCTCGCTGGACGGCATCTGGAACTTTGTGCGCTCCGATCAGGCGAATCCCACGCAGGGCGTTAGGGATGAGTGGTACTCGAAGGACCTTAGCCGTAGCAGGCCCACGATCCCCATGCCAGTGCCTGCCTCCTACAATGACATTACCACGGACAACCTAAGGGATCATGTGGGCACCGTGTGGTACGATCGCAAGTTCTTTGTGCCCCGCTCCTGGGGCAAGAATCAGAGGATCTGGCTAAGATTCGGCAGCGTCCATTACGAGGCCTTTGTGGTGGGTTATGAAGTGGGACTTGAATTTGGAGAATTTCCATTGTTATCTTTTCTAATTATCCTTTTAGTGGATCAATGGCCATAAGGTGGTGAAGCACGAAATCGGCCATTTGCCCTTCGAGGCAGAGGTTACGGATTTCCTTAATTACGGAGCCGAAAACCGGATCACCGTGATGTGTGACAACGCTTTGATCCAGACAACGGTGCCGCAGGGGAAGATCACGGAGGTGCCCAACGACAATGGCATGACCATCATCCAAAGCTACACCTTTGACTTCTTCAACTATGCGGGAATTCACAGGAGTGTTCATCTGTACACCACACCCAGGACTTTTATTGAGGAGGTGGAGATCACGACAGGACTATCGGAGAATAATAGTGGTAAGTGGGGAAGGAGGGCTTTTCTTTTGGCAAATAGGTGAAATTCTTTCCATATTAATTTATTCTTCTATTTTAGTTGGCGAGGTCTTCTATAGTGTCAGCGTGAATGGCAGTGCTGCCAATGAAGCCATCAATGACCTGCACATCCAAGCGAACCTCTACGACAAAGGAGGTGCCAAGGTAGCCAATGCCACCTCGGATGGCAAACTGAACGGCATCCTGAAGATCAACGAAGTCAAGCCCTGGTGGCCCTACCTGATGCATCCCGAACCAGGTTACCTCTACGAGCTGGAGATCAAGCTGCTGGCGGCCAAGGAGGAGCTGCTCGATGTCTACCGGCTTAAGGTGGGCCTGCGCACGCTAAGTTGGAACAAATCCCAGTTCCTGATTAATGGCAAACCCGTTTACTTCCGTGGATTTGGACGCCACGAAGATTCCGATATTAGAGGCAAGGGCCTGGACAACGCCTTGATGGTGCGAGACTTTAACTTGCTCAAGTGGATCGGTGCGAATGCGTATCGCACATCGCATTATCCTTACTCCGAGGAGTCTATGCAGTTTGCGGACGAGCACGGCATCATGATCATTGACGAGTGTCCCAGCGTGGATACGGAGTGAGTTTGGTAATGTCTCCGCAGAAGGCTTCTTACTAATGATGTCTTCTTTGCTTCTCCAGAAACTACAGCCAGGAGCTGTTGGGCAAGCACAAGTCATCGCTGGAGCAGCTTATACACAGGGACAGGAATCATCCCAGTGTGGTCATGTGGTCCATAGCGAATGAGCCTCGTACGGCGACCATGAATGCGGATTCGTACTTTGAGTGGGTATTCCCTGGTTACTCTTCCTTCAAGTGGTTGTAATTGATTTATCCGTATCTCCCTAGGCTGGTGGCAAATTTCACAAGATCCATAGACAAAACCCGACCTATTACGGCTGCCATTGCTGTCCCCTACACGCAGGATAAGTCGGTAAGTGGAGCTACATACCTTCCCCAAGAGTCACAATTTTATACCTTATATATATGGTTTAGGGTCGCCATCTGGACATTATCAGCTTCAATCGCTATAATGCCTGGTACTCCAATACTGGTCGCCTGGATATGGTCACCCAGAATGTTATCGATGAGGCCACCGCCTGGAACAACAAGTACAAAAAGCCTATAATTATGTCGGAGTATGGTGCCGATACCCTTGAGGGCTTACATATGGTAAGTTTGTATATGTAAGTTCGTAAACATTTTATTAAACACTATTTTTTAGACTCCCGCCTATGTGTGGTCGGAGGAGTTCCAGGAGGAGGTATTCGCTCGCCATTTCAAGGCCTTCGATCAGCTACGGAAGAAGGGCTGGTTCATAGGCGAGTTTGTGTGGAACTTTGCCGACTTTAAGACAGCTCAAAGTGAGTTTAAACTTAACAAAATTTAAATAGTTATTATATTTATGATATTCACTAGGCTACACCCGCGTGGGCGGCAATAAAAAGGGCGTTTTTACCCGCGCTCGACAGCCAAAGGCGGCAGCTCATCTGCTCCGCAAAAGATACTTTGCCTTGGGCCGGGATCTGGATCAGTGTCAGTTTCCGGAGGATCTCTTCACCTACATAGCCGATCTAATATCGTAGTTGGACGAAAATAAACCCAATTAAGATGGCCATTGTAAATAAGCCAAGGAAAAAAGAGAAACGGAACTTCCTATTGAGTACTGCCGCATATCCATGAATCATTCCGCTGCGTTCCCTTTTGTACAATATAAATTTACATTGTATTTTTGTATGTATTTGTAAGCGTAAGGCTATAAATAAAAACAGCGTTATTTATTTAAATAAAATAAGGGATTCCTTCGCGCTTACTATCGATAACAGGATGCTAACAACTTATTACAGAAGGAAGCTTTTTTATTGATTATCCTGAGCTTGCGTTGGCAAGGCTTTCTATTTGGGCGTGCTTTTTGAAGCTTTCTTTAAGGACTTTACATATTTGTAGTTTTAAGTTTTCATTAAAGTTTTTACTCCATAAATGTATAAATAAATATAAAACGCAGCTTGTGTTTCTTTTGCATGAAAGTTGAATTTTTATTTAATTTTGCAGCCAATGGAATTTTTCTTTCTTTTCCTTTATAGTAATTTCGTTTAGTTTAACTTATGCTTGTTTTTTTTTTTTGGTTCAGCAAAATACTAAATTATTGGCCCCTCCATAACCGACAATAATTCTTTTCGAAATGCGCGCCAAATTATGTCAGTATTGAAACCTAAATAAATTAAGAAAATAACAAGTTGTGTTTGTGTTTTGTGTGTTCGAATTATTGTCTGATATGTGGCCCAAATATTTTTTAGTATTTTGCCTTATTTCTATTGGTATTTATAGATATAGACAGATCTGCAAACACTTACTTCACTAAGTTAATGATGATTTTGTTTCGAAGAGTTTGTTTTGATTTTGGTATAGTTTGTTCTTTTTTAATGGAAGGTAAAACATTGTGATATCTGCAGTTTCCCTCCGCTTTTCAATCTTAATTTAATTTACTTTGCATGCTTTACTTTATTTTAGCTAATTACGTTTTACCCATTTTTCCCGAAAGTAGTTTGCTTGTCAAATGTTACACGTTATTTCGCTAGATAATTACATTTAAGCTTATTCAAAGAAATCCTCGACACATAATTACCATAATAGTACAACAGTTTTGCTTTTTGTTTAGGTTTAAATGTTAGGGTGTGTGGTGGCTTAACAATAGTGTTCAAATTGTATTTAAACAGGGCGTGACCACCGATTATTATTCGATAAGTTAGTGTTTACATCCTATAACCAATATTACAGTTGCTCAACAAATGTAGGGCTTAAGCCTAAGCAGATCGATGCTTACTTACACACACATTAAATGTCGCTAGTTAGCAGTTAATATACATCATAATCCGAGTACCAATCATCATCATCATCATCATCATCAGCTTCAGTTGTAACGATTCCAATCCCATTCTCGAAGCAGAAGGAAGATATATGTTAGAGGGAGCGAGGGAGATCTCCAACGTAAGTTATAGTTATGAGTTAACGTCACACATGAAAAGTGGTAGTAGATTGCTCTATATATGCGTATTAACTAGTCACTTACTAGCTAATTATTTTGATTAGATATCTTGTGTGTCTTGTGTTTTGCATTTTGTATTTCCAATTCAACGCTTCATCAGTTTTGTCTTCTAAAAACAGTCTCCACTTGGCTCTATAAATTTAGCTAATAACTAACAGAATTCGATACGCTATTTACACACTGTCTTATGGCCTTATGGTCTTATATATATATATATCCATGATCCTGGTATACAAGTATGCGTCAATCCTCGATGATAGCCGAAGAGGTTAGATCAACATCCGCTTTTGTCGGTCCTAGCAGAAGCGTCTGCAAGAAAGCCAAGAAGGATTCATTAGCCAAAGTAAAGTGAAAAACTTTCCCATTGAGATGTAAGGGCGCCACTCTAAGCACAAATTGTGCGAAATTAATGTTACTTAATTTAACTTTCATGAAATGGGAATGAGAATGAAAATGGAAGTGGAAATGGGAATGGGAATGGGAATGAAAATGAATGAATGGCAAAAGATTTAACTGCTTGACTGCCACATGCAGATGGCTCTCCGCCTTCAACCCCAAATGCAATGCAAATGGTAACTATTCAGAAACTTGTCTTTGTAGATAAAAGCCGAGTCCCTCCGCCGGGTTAATGTGGCATAATTCTAATGCATTGACCAACATCCTGCAGATGACAGGCCACCGATAAAAGGTCCGATAAAACTTTCGCTCTTTTTCGGCCCCAAAAACTTCCTTCTCACACACACACAATTGTTTCAGCTCCCGGGCATTGGATGCAAAGTGCCTTGGTCCTTGGAGCAGCGGCTCCTTCAGGATCTCTCCACGGTCACAGCAATATCAATTTCGGGGTCGGGATTGAAAATTGAAACTTGAAAATAACATAAAAGGCAATGCAATTGCGTGTGCGTTTGCGAATCGATTCGAAAGGTTTCCCCTGGCAGCAGGGCAAATTGACTAACACAATAGCAATAAACGGGGGGAGACACTGGGAAAAACAGGTATCTGCTATGAAAACTACATTTTATAAAAATCACAATACGAATGTACCAAATTGGGATGGTAAATTGTGGCTTAGATTAATTTTAGATCAAAGATTTTCTAACAAATATTACTAATACAAATTTGTTACTATTGCAAATTTATGCAAGTGTATTATTGTTCGATTCGGCTTCGTCGACTGGCACTCACCTTCGCCTCTTCGCATGCACTATCTAGAGCTTCCCGCTGCGGTAGTGGACTGGTCGGTGGCCGCCGAAGAGGATGCGCTTGAAGGCCTGACGGAACTCCGGACTGAATATGGTATAGATGACCTGCACAGAAATATAAAAGAAAAATGAATGACATTGGTAAGAGTTGGAAGATAGAATATGCAGTGTGAGGCGAATGAGTTTATACTACAATTAATAAAAAGGAAATTCTGATTAACTTAGTCATCATTATTATGATCTGTAAAAATAAAACAAGAGATTATCATAATGTAACTATTACGCTTTATGTATGCTTTCTATGGCAATTATTAATATATCTCCTCTCTCTTTTTAAATGTGTTAACTATAATGCATTGCATTCCTAATTCATTTAAAAATAATTTAGTATTTTAAATAAAAGCATATATGATATAGCCTTAAGCTATAGCTTTCACCAATTATCTTGCCATCCGGTTCCAGTCTTCGAAACCTTCGATCTAGCCATATTGCCTCTCTACAGATTTCTCTTTCTCCCTCTCTCTCCCTCTGCTTGCCTCTCGAGATAGTTCTTGTTCTCCCACTCTCACTTTCTCTGCTCTCTTCACCCTGTGACTATAAATAGAGGCGCTTTCTACGCTCTGGCCTCATTCGGTCCGCAGCCTCCGTGCTGTTTACATCAGTGGTGATAGTGAAAGTGATTGCTCCTCGAAACCAAAAACATGACGTGGCCAATGCAGTTAAACTGGATAACCAGGAAGTGACTCACTTCGATGATAACATGAAAAGCCTAATTGCTAGCAATTTGTTATTTTACAATTAATTTCATTACTAAATTTTAATTTATAGTGATTTGAATACCCAAAGTTAACAAACAGTCCAAGTTAATTATAAATTATTTACGAATATTGACATTCAAATCCATGATCCATGGGTAACTTCAAGTATGTCTTTCTTGTGTTGTAATAATAATAGAAGTTAACCCACCGGATTGAGGGTGGAGTTGAAGTAGCCCAGCCAGAGGAAGAGCGAGGCCACGCTGTCGCTGATCTCGCAGGCGGCGCACAGGGGCATGGTCAGCGCCATGACGAAGAAGGGGAGCCAGCAGACGACGAAGGCTCCCGTGATAATGGCCAGCGTCTTGGCCGCCTTCCTCTCCCGCTTCGCCTCCAGGGTCTCCTTGCGCTTGTTCACCTTTTGCATCGGATTAGCGATGCTGGAGAGTTGCTGCTGCTGCTGCTGGGGATTTGTGTGCTGCTGCTGCGTTTGCTGCTGCAGCGACTTCGAGCGCGGCTCTGGAGTCAGGGGCTGGGCGGAGGAGGGTGTGGGCGAGGAGGAGGTAGCGCCGCAGAGCGGATGCGCCTGGTTGCAGCTCGTCAGCGTACTGGTTTTGGCTGTCATCGGTCCGGCGGCGGCGGCGGCGGACGCGATACCACCAATTCCCTGCGATGTCGGCGTTTGCGGCGATAGCGCCGATATCGACGTAATTGTGGTGGCATTTGATGTGCTGGCACCACCGCCTCCTCCTCCTCCTCCTCCTGATGGTGCCCCGGCTTCAGCTCCTCCTCCGCCGGATTTGGCAGTTTTCTGCAGCTGCTGCACTTGTTCGAGCTGCTGTTGCAGCTGTGGATCCTCCAGCACTTCCACCGAACCATTGCCCGTGGCTGTGGCTGGCGTTGCTGCCGATGTTGCGGTTGCGGCTGCCAGGTCCGCCTGGCCGTCCTCCTCCTCCTCCTCGTCCTCGGGGTCCTGTTCCTGTTCGTGCTCTCCTCCGTGCTGATGCAGCTGGTCCTGGTTCTGGTCCTCGTTCTGCCCCTTGCCCGCCCCATTGGCAGTCGTTCCGTTGACAGCTGATGTCGAGGACTTGGCGGCGGACTTGCCCTGCTGTTTGGCCAGGGCCACCAGGTGTGAGACGGTGGCTATCTGATTGCCCGACTGGGACGTGCTGGGCACCTGCAATAGGCACGAAAATTGAAGGTAGATTATAGACATTATATACTTCAGTCAAGACCTTAAAAAAATCTTTTAGTGTACTACAAATAACTCATGAAGAAATATGCTTTACCTAAAATAGTAAAATATTAAAATTTATTTAATAATTCGTTCACTGCGTTAGAAGCTTCTGAGTTAAAGTCTGTAAAATCCCTCAAATAAATCTTAAATATAATTTCCTTATGCTGACCTGCAGATTATTTTGCTTTAAGCCAATTTCTTTGACTTATACTCGATCTCTAAATGATTATTTTGCCTGTGCAACCACGCAAATCACTGGCTTTCCCTGCTTTTCCATGGGCGCAGTCAAGTTTCATGCGGCAAATTAGCATTTTAAATCAGTAGCCGCGCATTGCATTCATAAATTTATTTACTGCTCGTCAATTTTCATGGCGGTGGGCCCATAAATTTTCGGTAAATGAATAAAATCAGAGTGTAAATATTTACTTTCGTTAAGCTCGTGGTGCTCGTACAGTACGGCCTCCTTTATCAGGCCCGGGCCACTCGAAAGGGCTGTGCCTGGCCCAGAGCCTAGCCAATTTGTCGGTTACGAATGTACATATTTGAGGAGAACGGCCCACCGAGCGGTCGGTCTTCCTAACGGCTTGTCTAGCACTAAAATTCCCATAATCACCTGTAATTTGAGCCCCGGCCGGTGCGTAGGTGTGTGTCGGGCGGAAGTGGCCGCCGCAAAGTGCTAAAATGAACTTTACGTGTGATAAATTGTGTCTACTTTGCAGCTGGCGCCTTTTTTGAGGGCGATAGCGATAACGGTTTGGGATGGGAGTATCCAAAGAAAATATTCCGATAGTTTTGACACCTAGCGACCGTTATTTGCATGTTTAATGAGATACTCTAATTTTATTTACTAGTTTAAAAAATATTACAAAATAGTTTTACCTACAACTGCCTAAAATCGTTAAAAGGGATAGATATAATGCTCGCTAATTATATTTATCTATTTTTACCATTATCACAATTATCCTTTTACATACATTGACTTATTTAATCAATTTAATTAATGTTAATGTTTATTTTTAGTTACAGGAAATCCCTTTTCACATTAACATTATTAGGCTTGTAAATTGAAAGCAACAAAAGACATTATAGTGCTATTATTTCTGCTGCCATCTCCCTCTTCTTCTTGAAAGTAAGCCAAGTTCAATTAATGGCCGGACCAAATGAATTTTATGACTGTGATGCGGCCATAAATTATGAAACATATTGTGTGGAGTATGTAATTTTGTGCTCCGGGAAGACATTCAAATTCAGCAGAAATAAAAAACCTGGTGTACCGGGGAACGAACAATGGGGAACGTGGGATAAATCTCTGGACAGGAGCTTAGTTCGCATCAAATTCAATGGCCATTGGCCAATTGTGCATAAACACAAAGCAACAAAAGAGTGGAGAAAGCTGAGCACATCATCGTATGTGTTGGCAAAGGAGTGGACCATGTGAATCGGGATAATGTTCAGGAAAAGTTTCTTTTGCAACATGTTTATATATACATTAGTTTTTTTTTAAATAATTCTAAAGTTGAACAAGATTATATATATATAATGCGTTATAGAAATATTTCTTATACATATTTTATTAAAAAGTGTAATAAATCTCACTTTGGACCACCCTAGCGTGCATGTGTGGCTCTGCCATTGTCATCGTCACTGTAATTGTGTGTCCCAATACAAACAAACAATTCGATTTCTCTTTCCTGCAGCATTTTTAATATGTTGTCTAGGTATAGAGGCAGGGCGAGATGGAGTGGACATAACGGTGAAGCAAAGCAAACCAGAGCTAGGCGTGGCGAAGCGAGTGAAAGCAAAGCAAATCAAAGGCGAAGCCAAAGACAAATCAAAAACAAAGCATTGTAGTTTAATTTAGAGAACAATTGAAAAGAGACAGAGAGTGGAGAGTGGAGACTACAATGCAGATTGCAATTCTAGAGATTCTGCAATTTTGCACCTCTGCATGAAGTGCAGTGAAGCAAATAAGGGGAGGCATTTGTTTGGCATTTCGTATTTTCATTATCGACTCCCTGCGCTCCAGTAATTATTCCAATGTAGCTGAAAAAAAGAAGTAAAATATGCAAACAGTTGTTTCCATTTTCAGCTTTTCATTTCTTTTTTGCCTTGCTTTTTTGTGTGGACTCTTCGCACACACAACTATAATAATAAATTTATATATTTGCCTTCGGGCGATGCGTAAATGCGAGAGTGTGTGCGTGTTTGTTTATTTATTTGGCTGTCCACTTATTTGCCCAGCAGGCCAAAGGGAGAGGCAGGGGAGTGCATGGGAGAAGGAGAGCAGGAGAGCAGGAGACCAGGAGAGCTGGAGAGGTGTGTGGCGCAGCCATTTCCAAGTAAATATTTAATCTCAGGTCCAAGAAAATGGGAAAAGGGAGCGAGATAGGGAGAGAGAGGGACCTAGAGAGCGATGGAGTTATTCTGGCCGAAAAACGAAAGCTGTTGGCCATAAGCCATCAACATATTTTCCTCAATTACTCAAGCGTATTGAGTGCCTTGTTAGGCGGCGGGCTCTCTCCCCCGCTATGGAATCGAAATCGGAATGGGAATAAGAAAAATAATCGCAATCGGAGTCCAAGGGCCAAGAAGTCAAAGGTCCCCAAAAGCTAAACTCAGTCTCTCTCTCTTTCTTCCTCATTCTCGTTTGCTTTCGCTAACTGACTTTCCGCTCCTGTTGCTGTTTTGTTTGCTTACCCTACACACAGTGGGGTATTTCGATTTTCGGAACAAGTTTGTCATGACGTTGACACCAATTAGATTTACTTCAATCAATTTACTTTAATCAAAAATAAAAATTTTATTTTGTTCGATAAGACAAAAAATGGCATGACGCAAAAAAGTATGCTACGAAAATTAGTATGAAAATCACTCATACGGCAAGTATAACAAGATCGTCAAAAAGGATCATCCCAATAGCTTAATGAATTTTCTTAGCCTTATTTTGGTATGGAGAATAAATTTTGAATTTTAATGGATTCCGTTTTAGGTACTTCAAAAATTACGTATACGACATATAGTCCGGAAAATATAGATGTAGATATAAATGGTTAAATTAATGTTAAGGAATAACAAGATGTCTTTTTTTATTTAAGTAATTACTATTTTTGTTGCCGTATCTGGTTAACAATTTGTATTAAATAAATAATATGTATTTTTGACCAATATTATGGTTCACACTGCGTATGAGTAATATAGACGTTATGCAGGACTTGCACTTATAATGTCTTAAATGCTAAAAATACAAAATAAAAGGTTGTTATCTTCCCCTTAATATCAATTAGTAATAAAAATAAGCGTCAAAAAAAGTCGCAAAATCGATAAATATTGCTACATTGTAGGTGGGAAAATTAATTTAAAAATTATTAAAGGTGATTTATTTAGAGTTCCCCTCTCTTTAAAATTTAATCGTTTTACTATAAATATTTAATGTGAAAGGGTATTTCGGACATCGACCTCGTTGCTATTAATTCGTTTTGCTTGTTTTCATTTGAATCTCTTCACTCCCTGGTCGCTTTGCCCTGCTGCTGCTGAGGGAGGGAGCGTATCCTTGTCACAGCTTATATTTGACTTTGCTATTACTTAACCGGCACGAACCTGGCGTTGCCAGTGTGTCCTGTTTGCTGTTGCCCCGCTCCCGCTCCCTGACCTTTGGCCAGTCGCCACCTCGTTTCTGTGTTTGGAGCAGCCAAGGTATTGGCCCGGCTTGTAGCAAATGCAAACAAAACGTTCGAGCAATTTATTCGGCCTCTGCTCTTTTATGGTTTTCTTGCCTGTGCCCTTCGCTTTAATGTGTGTTATTATTGAATGTGTGTGGCCCTGCTTGGATTATTTTTTAGCCATAAAATCGCTGGCCGAAAATTGAAGTACATAAAATGCGGCTAAATACAAATTTTCGGAGGGTCTCCTTTTTCTTGGGGGATTTCCCCCAATAAACCGAAGGCTTGGCCTGCATTTTATCGCTGACATTTTGGTCGAGTGGCGGGTAAGTTGCCAGGATTAAGCCGGATTTATTCTGCCTATGAGGGGAAGTGGCTTTCTTATCCTTCCACTCAGGACAACGACTCCATTAACAATTATGAAATTGCCATTAAATTTGCAATTAAATATTTAAGAGAAATTTCATTGAGTTCTACTTATATTTAATATTTATCAAATTTAAAGAACAAGTCTTTCTTTATTAGTTTCATAAAAAGTGGAAGGATAACCGGAGACTTTCCCCAGAGAATCTTCAATCTTTGGTCATGGAAATATGTATAATTCATTCCCCTAGAAATATATGGAAAAGGTCAAGCTGATGGTCTCACTCCGTCTCACTTGATCATTATCGGGGAATTCCTTCCCAAGGAATTCTCAAGTGCATATTGCTGCGACGAGGACGACGATGCCAGCCTGGGCTAATGTCTCATTAGCCAGGTGAGAAAAGGAAAAAGGAAGAGCTCAGTGGAAAAGGTAGCCAAGAGGAAAAATCATTTCAATCCCCAAAAGGTGCGAGAGAAGGGCATATGGTAGTTTGTAGCGGCGAAGGAGACGCATAATAAAGCAGGAAATGAGCTGAAAGCTGGTGGGTTTATTTTTGGTCAGCCTATGCTGCTCTTCTTTGCGTATGCGAGTCCTTTCCATCACTCTGTGTGTGTATGAGTGTGTGTGTGTGTGTGTGTGCATCCTGGGAACAGGAAGCAAGCCCTCTCCTCAGATCGTTGGGCACATGTCAGGCGTTATGAAATTTGCTTTAAGCCCAAAAATGCTCATTGTTCTTTCTCGTGTTGCTTCACTCAACAGCAACGAAAAAAAACACCAGAAAAATTTCATGAATTTTAAAAATTCAATCTTAATTTAGAATTCCGCAAAAAAGCGTACAGGTTCTGCCTTAAATTTATATTAAAAGTTACTGCAAATTGGGATAGCCTTTAATTAGGTTTAGTTTATTGATTAGAAACTGTGTCAAAATGGGATATAAGATAAATGGGATAACTAAATTAACAATTTAATCAGCAATAACAAATAAGTTACTAATAAAACATTAGTAATGTGTCAGTCCAGTGCTAAATCATCTAACTAAACTTAATTAAGCATGCTCATTGAGGTCAGCACTGATTTCTGAACCATATGTTAATTAGGCACTTTCTATTTATATTTATATTTCGAGTGTTCCTCGACCAAAAATAAAATACATACCTCGATGCCGGCCCGACTCTTGCTGTCCACATTCGAGCTGCTGAACTCGGTGTCCTCGACGGTGTTAACCGTGTTCGTTGAGTTCCCATCGACTAGGCCCAGAGTCCTGCCTCCAGGACCTCCTCCTGCTGCACCAGCTCCAGCTCCGCCGCCACCTCCACTGGCACTTCCGGCCTTGGTCTTGGCCGTGGAGAATCTGCCAAGGCGTAGACGCAGTCGATTAAGTTTCGTATCTGTTGCCGCACCTCCGTCCGGCTGGAAAACAGAGAAGGCAATAGACACAATCAGAGAGAGAGAGAGAGAGAGGGTAAGGATAGAGTCCTCCAGTCTAAGGCATTGATTTTTGGCCTTTGACCCGGGTGCAGGACTTGAAATTAAATTCATACTTCTTCGCACAGCATTAAAATGAATAACAAAGGAGCCGATGGTCGGGCAAATTTACATTTTCGGCTTTTTCTGCCTTACGCTTCAATAAACCGCAATTTGTACGCATATCCAAAAAAGTAAAAAAAAGGAGAAAAACTTCAAGATCCGATTCGTATCCCACCATATGCATATGTAAGTGGGTTGCTTCCCGTAAATAAATTGTGTGTATTTGCTACAGAGTCTCCTGAAAAGCGTTTTTCCCGACCGCCTGAAAATAAATTTCACGATTGACTGCTCCCAGCGCTTGACCTCTTTGATTTTTCCACTTTTTTTTCCCTGTTGTCCTGTTTATCCTTTTTTTTTACTCGTCCTGGTGTAGTGTATTTTCATGGCTTGTGGGGACAATGAACTTCGACTTCGACAGAAAATCAAGAAGTTTAAATACTGAAAATTAGGGAAAACTATCTGATAAATATAATGAATATATATATTTTTTTAAAAGGAAAACATTTTAAAGAAAGCTTACTTGAGAATGTCTATAAATAAATTCTGAAATAAGTCTTGTTCTCCGCTTGTATCTTCCTTTTCTTCCACAAAACTTGAGTATCTTAAGAAATTCTATACCCCAAAGTGTAGACATTGTTCGACTTGCTTCCTTGTCCGTTTTTTCGGCTAAACATATACCCTTTCCCTTTGTGTGCGTATTTTTGTCGCCTTCAATCCCACCAAATTAAAGTAATTGAGTAGTCCAACCCTTTGGCAACTCGGCCTCGTCATCTTTGTCGTCGCCTGACCCTTTGGCAAGTCGATACGATATTGCTTTAAATAAATAAAATTATGCTGATTTTGCCAGTCGTGTGTTGCGGAAACTTCAACGAGGAGGAAAAAGGGTTTCCCAGGCTGGTGTGAATATTTGCGCAAATAGTATTAAATGTGCGTGCGTGTGACCTCACCGAAGAAACAAAGGGGCAAAATTGGATAGACGAGGCCGCGTCAAGTGTCTTGTGGGTTTCGGACCAGAGGCCACCCAGATAGCTTATTAAATATTGAAGAGTTTAAGCTTAATTAGGCACAGGAGCAGAAAAGGGAAGCTGTCCCAGTGGGAGATGGCAGAAGTCTGTCCGAAATTAATAAATAACAGGCGGCAGCAGCCTGCCTGGCTTTAAGTTTTAGCTACGAAACTTTTGTGTTCAATGTTAAAGTTTTCCTAGAAAAACCTTTATTGAGTTTCCAAGCAAAAGGTAATCGAAGCTGTAGTATAGTAGAGAAAAACCATTATTGGCGAGGCAATAGGAAAACAATTGTCAGTCAGTTCAAGCCTGTCTTTGGGGAAAACTAAACGTACATACATGCATTTGTTGCCAAAGCAAACATGGCCAAGTTAAGAGCGATAAGAGTGCTCTCTCTTTTCAGGAGCAATAACGATAAGGATGCGGATATAACCTCAGCTCAATGGGAATTTTATGCAGATGTCCTGTCTGTTTTCCGTGTGTATTTAAGCGTTTGCATTAAACGATACACTCACATTCTCGTCTCGTACTGCCTCATCTCCGTGTCTTGTGTCCTTAGCCATTTTTCGGCACTTTAGCTAATTTATGTAAATTGTTTTCTTATTTAATTGTTTTTCTTGCCGAAAGACATGTGTTGTTCAGCCTCCCTGCGTGTGGCAGGCAGCGCCTGCTCTTGTGTCTGAGTGTGTATTCAATAATGTGTTTCTCATGCGATTTATGTTTGGTCCTGAGTGTGACAAGAATGTCCTGGGTATTAACTACACTGGGCAACAAAATTTATGACTCCAGCGGGGCCGCTAGGAGGTCCCGCTGGGAGATGCGAGCCTAGCCCGGCATCTAGGAAAATTAAAATAAATCCGCCATAAATAACAACCAAATCAAATGCAAACTGGGCCTCAGAACAGATATACATTATAGAGACTGCATTCCTTACTTGAATATTTATTTAGATTTCGGTTGAGATTTGCTTTCAACAATAAATTTAAATTCATTTAAAATTTTTGCCATGAGCAATAAGTTATTCGAACATTTTTGGCAGATGTTTTCCTGCATTTTCATTTAAAGATGGCAATGAATTGAATGTTTAAAAATGTTTCCAACTCTCTACAGGATTTTATATCAATTCTTTTCTATTGATTAGAAAGTTATGAATGACTTATGTATTTTTCTGACATTTACTTTCTTTAATAAAATGCATTCTAATATTTTCTTAAAAAAATCAAATGATTAGTTACAAATATAACAAATCAGACTCTAATTCAGACAACTGATTAAAACTTTAATGTTCATATTCAAATAAATTATTTTCTGTTTAGATTTTTCGAAATGAAAACTTTGAAGCATTATTTAAAACGTGATAAATATACATAAACACAAATTGTTAGAATTTGGCTAGCAACTACTTCCAAAAATTATATATTTTCCATGCTCAAATTTAAATAATTTGCTTTAATATTTTCAGCAATCTAAACTTTTGCTGGACAGTTTTTCTATTTGGTTTTTTGCCTATTATGTTTCGGACACAGACACTAACTTAATATATCGCCGTGTGTCGCAGATGGCGAGCTGGCCAAATATGCTTTTCACTCAGACGCTTTTCTTCGGCTATGAAAATAGTGTCAATATCGGGGAGCAATCAATTCGAGATGCTGTAATGTAATTGTGATGATGGTGCTTACGATGCTGGATTATTAATAACATTGGCTAACTGGCAAATAGCTGAATTAGAGATAATACCTGATTCCCTTAATTGCCATTTGCCTTTCGCCTTTTTGCCGCTAATAACAAAATGTGTGTGTGTTTCACTGCCATGAAAATTACATTTCAATTAAAATTACAAAACACGCACGAAGTCACATATTAGAGGGGAGGTGTAAATTATTTAGGCAATGATAGTTTTGTGAATTCGATTAGGAATTATTTAGCAATTTGTCCAATAAACATACCGAATGCAAATGCAATTAGCTGGAAATTTATGTCGTTTCGCTTTTAAAAGCAAAGAGCGTAGGGCTCAGCGGGATACGTACATATGTACATACGTATATTGGACCCTCGTCAAGGAGCAGGAAAGCAATTTTCAATTTGAAAGCATTTAGTTATCGGAGAATAGGAAAAGTGAAGAGGGGAGTCGCTGGACTAATGCCCTTTCTGCGTGCCAAATCCCGGGCCTACGTTGGTGTAAGGGATATACTCGTATCAGATGTGTGTGCTGGGTAAATATATTCTAAAATCAACAAGCAGGACAACGCAGGACGGCACAGGACCAGGCAGGACAGGGACTAGTGAGTGGCACTAAATGGATGTGGATCTCGGCAGTGTGTGTGCGTGTGCGGGTAAGTGTGTTGACATGTAACTAAAGCACGCATGTGAGCCAAGATTCGGGGCCAGGCCGGACATCGGACATTGGACATTGGACATCGGCGCAGGGCCAGGAGCAGGAGCAGGAGCAGGACATCGGGCCAGGACATGTGTACGATTGGCAAATAGCGGACAACTTGTCTTGTTTGCGCATTGAATTTGTGATTCCAATGACTTTTTGCCAGCTCTCCTCCTCTCCTCTGTTAGTCAGTGTTCTATGCACACACGTGGCTTTGAACAGATGTGGTTAAGATAATAGAAATTATAATTGAGAGCCATAGAAATTACATTACCAAAAAAAAGAGTATGATTCTTGGGCTTAAGATCTTTAAGGAGGAATAACTAGGTTTAGTTCTTTTTTGATTCAAAGCGAAAGATACATATTTAAATGAATATATATTGGATTATTACATTAAATACTTATAAGTGGCTTGTTAAATGATTTCCAATTGATTTGATTATTTCTCTGTACTTTTTTTGATGGTTTCGCTCATTATTTTAAATTATTTTTTATTTATCTAAACCTTTTCTTTAGTTAATGTCCAACTACAACTATTATTTCAACCGCATCTGTTCACCTGCACTTCGTGTTGGTAAGTGGTTGCAAACATTTCTACGTCAAATGGTCATTTTCAATTTGGCCAGCACTAAGCTTAGGCTAAGTAGCAGCTTCCCAGCAGCAGCAGAAGAAGGAGCTTTATGGCCAAGACAAGATTGGAAAAAAATGTATATATAGATGAAAGACAGAGATAGGGGATAAGGGAGCCAAAAGTAAACCCAATTTCAGATACCCTATCGCGTCTGGAGAAAGTTAAAGCAAACTCGAAGGCAAAATTAGTTTTTAATTTCGTTGATAAGAGCAACTTGGAAATACTTGAAATTTCTTTCGTCTCGCAACAAGCAAAGAAACAGAAAAAAGAAAAGAAACACAACAAAATTACAATTTCGGCCAGAGAGACTTTTGGCTTGAACACATCCTGTGCGTATTAGTTTGACCAGCTGCCGCATTAGGGCGCACAAACTTCTGGCCAAGAAGGGGAAGCACACTCCACCCCCACCCCCAACCGGGTGGCACTCTCAGACACTCACGAGGCAAGACAAGCTGCCACTTATCGCTCAACTTTCTGCCAAAAGGGCTTTAATGTCCACGTGGCGTATGCTTAACTTAAGCCACTCACTCACTCGATTTTTCTTGTTGCGAGGCCAAGGTCTCCTTTTGGCAATGCATATTTCATCACTCTGGATGATAAGGCCTAATTACAGTCCATTTCCCCGGCCCCAGAGTCCCCCATGGGTTGAGTTGCTTCTCGGCCGTATGCTCTATGCATATTTAAATTGAAAGGCATAATTTCATAAGGTAACAGAGGTCAGTCGGGGGCCCCGCCCGAGTAATGTGCATAGAAATTTCAGAACGTTGCCTGCGGTTTGGCCTTTGACTGGCCCCCGTCTCTGGTTTGAATTTGTGGCTTTTGCCCCGCTCCGATCGACTGCATAATTGCACTGACCAGCCTGTGGTGTGCTGTGGTGGCTTGGGTTTGAACAGCGGACTCTGTGGGCATAACAGGGTGTCCTTTTGGGAGTGCATTCAGATTTAAACATTGATTAATACTTGAGAATGTACTCATTATGTTTTGACTTGATACATCATATTGATTTTTTCAACTTTAATGTATTTTAAGGTTACTCAATACTCTTGGCTGCATTCTGCACCGATTAATAGCCTTAGTCCCCGTCAATTTCGACTGTGACTCAATTAGGTTAGGAGGGATATGAAGGCCAAAGCCTGCCACTATACCTGATTATTATTGACCGCAGCAGCGACGGGTCGTGGTCGCCGCCGATGTATGCGCTTGCGGGCCGTTTGATAGATTTTCCAGTAGAGCGCCAATATGACCAGCAGCGGCACATAGAAGGTGCAACAGGTGGCAAATACCTAAGGGGAGGCAGAGTGAAAATAGAGTGGAGGGTTTAATATTATTTAAATTCTCGTTGCTCACCTGATAGGACACATCCTGCGAGACCATGCACTTTTGCTGCTCAATGCGCTGCAGGTAATCGGGATCCTTCCAGCCAAATTGTGGGGCCAAGGAGACAATCACCGCCGCTGTCCAGACGCAGAAAATCATCATGAAGACGCGATTGCTGGTCCGCGAGTGTATATAATCGATATTGGTCACTGCCCAGTAACTGGAAATGGAAGAGAATGCCACTTTTACATAAAAGTTTCCACAAATTGAGCCTTTTAGTTCTATTTATGTTTTACCTTTCTGACTTCTCTAAATCCCTCACTGAAAAACCACTCAAAATATCCTCACACAGATTATAATTTGAGTTCCACTTGGCTTAAACCACTCCCCAGGATATTTATGTACAATTGTGGCCAACACTTGAACATGGTCGCTTAGTTACTCCATTATCCGAATCCACAAAAATTCAAATGAAATGCTGCATAAATCTAGGCGCACACACACACACCAGCACCCTCACACACACACACACAGCAAGAGTACCATATGGCAGAGAAAGAGAGAGAGAGAGTGAGAGAGAGCGACAAAGTAAAGAAACGTGTTCGATATTCAGTTTCCGTCCGACAGTTTTCCGTAGCGTTTTGCAACAACCTTTCTTTTTTTTGTGATGTGTTGTGTTGAATTTTTGTTGGTTATTTCTATTTGCTATTGGTTTGGGCCCAAAAAACCATGTTTTATGTATGTCTGCCTTAGGCCGTGTCTCTGTCTGTGTGTGTCGGGCATTTTTAAAATATTACCATTTTTTGTAGAAGAAGATTGGAAAATAAGGTTACTCTTTAAGGGTCTCACTTAATGACACCAGAAATTCAGCTCACATTCTGTATTTTTTCTTGCCCTGGGTTGACTTGGCTTCAATTGAGTTAGTCCTTGTTGGCCAGGGACGCGTAAGTGTGTGGTGAGAGCATTCACCATTCGTTGTCTGCCACTCGTACTCTGTGTAGTTGCCCATTTTTCGGTTTTGGGCTCAGCAACATGGCTAAACGAGTTTTTAAAACGTTACGTGGCATGTAGCACAGTCGTACACACACCCACACACACTCTATTCACTCCCAGACACACCATACACACCACACACACACACTTGCACACTCGCCGACTCCGCTTAATGTGGAACTATCTGAAGTGCGGGGCACATTATGTGCCGCTTCTGCTGATGATGTTGCCATTAAATTGCTAATAGCCAAAAAGAAGGGTTGCAAAATATAAATGAACACGCACTGAAAATTTAACAGAGATCCAAAATATATTTCAGAAATAAGTATAATATTTTTCCATTATTTAATTCTCTAGTTTACCTTATCCGAGTTTACTATTTCCTTATAAATACAAGTATATTAAAAGGAGTTTGAGGCTTACATTAAAAAATATCTTTTTATATATTAATAAAAATTTGGAAACCTTTATTTAAATGAACTTTCAACTGTTTGAAAAATAAATCCCCTGTGTATTTAAATTTGTCCTTTAAGAGGCCTTGCGCCCAAAGCTAAACTGATGTTTCTTCTCATCTGCGTTGCGGCTTTTGTGGGAATTAACGCCAGGCAACCGCAAATTTCAAAATTTCTCACATGCTGGCATGGAGAGGGGCTCCTTTCCCCTTACTTTCTCCTTTTTCTCCATCACTTTCTTCTTAATGCCGCGCTGCGATGACCTCAGAGCTTTAAGTGGCAACCGGAAGCAGCCATGGCAAACACGTGTTTATGTATTAATTAAATGCAATTTGCATAAACAAATATTATGTTGGCTTGAGTCCCAGCTGAGCTGAGTACCACTAATGTGTGTGTGTGTGTTGAAATCAACAATTAAATGAGTTGACAAAGCACTCGAAATGAGCCATAGATGGGATCTATATACATATGTATGTATGTGTTATATGTATGTGGCTGGGGTAAACCGATGTGAAGTGCCATTACGGGCATATATAGAGCATAATTTAATTTGTCTACAATTGGGCACTCAAATGACAGCTTTATAAATATTTGTACATGTCGTCTATCTCACTGCTGCCGATATTGAGTGCCACTTAATTAAGGGAATTCCAAAAACTAAATTTGCATTGCGCTGTTTCGCCTTTGTTTCTGACATGCCATCACGCATACGCCATGTGTGCCTCGCCAAATACTAATAAATAATAATAATAATAATGAATGATGATGACCGCCGCCCGATGATGGCCAATGACTTATGTCTGGCAAACTGGCACTGACTTGCCATCAGTCCTTGTCCTTGTCCCTGTCCTCTGTCTAGGACAGGACCTCGTCCTCCTACGAATTCATTAGCATAATATAATCGACTTCAAGCTGGCAATTTTGATTGACTGCTTAAAATTAATGGAATTTTGTGATTTCGCTGTCACTGTGCCGCATATATTTTATTTCCTTTTTTCTTTTTGAAAGGATCTCCGCCGCTGTGCCGTGCATACGCAATGAAAAATCCATGCAAATTAATAGCGAAACCTAATAAAGTGTCTGTCATGCTTTTGTCAAAGCAGGGAAAAAGGCGAAGCCCATACGATCAGCGCGAATAATAATTTGTTATGGAATGAAGTGGGCTAGCTCTGCCATTCGAATTCAATTGAATTTGAAGTCAATCAATTTGCCGAGCTGAGTATCTGGCGACGGAACGCGACTTGGGTGATGAATTATAACAATTTATTTGTGAGCCAAACAATTTAAATGTGATTTTTCCATTATGCCTACGCCCCTTCCCTCTGAAGGGTGTCTATTGCCAAGTGGGTTGAGTGGGTGTGAGGCATGTGTGTGGTGTGTGTGATAAATGTGCGGCACTGGAGTGTAACACTTTTTAATGCATTTAAAAATTGAGCGCCTAGCACACAAAAAAGTCATTACTCTTACTGCCTGACTGAGGCGAGGAAGTTGAAAAGAACGTGAGATGGGAAGAAATTGTGTACTAAGATCGACTGAAAGATACCCTGTAGCCACAGGCTAGGCTATAAATATGGCCAAGAAGATTTACTTGCAAAGCCTGGCAATTGTTTTGCCTAATAACTTTCATGTTTCACATAAAAAAACAGGGTTTAAATATAAGGAAAAATGCAAAAAGTAGAATTATGTTATATGTAGCTAGTATATGTTTCTGTTTCTAATTAAATTGTCTAAATAATAAAAGCAAAAAAGAGCTTAGTTATAATTATTATGCCTATGACTTTTAATCTTCTAAAAGTTAATAATTAATATTGTTTCCTAAATCAACTTGACGCTTCCGTATTCATTGTGTATTTTTGTTGTTTTTAATATTAAATGCCAAATCATCTAAGTTCATTTCATCAAAATACAAAAGCTCATTAAAATAAATCCATTTAGAACAAAAGGATGGCCTGGCACGTTTTTTAGCCGTTCCATAATTAATTGAAATTTTATAAATATTGTCAAGTGGCGACAGTCAATATTTATCTACGCATCGGATCGCTTCACATTTCCCCCATTGCAATGCATATTTGATGCCTGCTGTCGCCTGCTATTTGCTCTTTATGCTTTTTATGCTTTATGGCTTTATATCACTCGCTTTTTGTTTTTTATTTGTTCCCCGTTGTCTGCCCTCAGCTAATCGATTGCATTACATTCGAAATCAGCTCAGTGTTGAGCGGGGAATACAAACAAAAAAATAAAAAATACAAAAAACAAAACATATTCACCTGCGGCTGCCCCTCCTCTTTTTCCCTTTTCCATTTTCCTATGAAAAAAGGAAACAAATTGTTGGGGCTCACCTGTGTGTGTGTGTGTGTGTGTGTGAAGGCCTGGTAATAGTTTTGTTTTGTTCTTGTTCTATGCCCTGCGGCATCTGTGTGGCATGATTAAATTTTTGCAAAACTACTCACTTGCTCTCCTTTCCAGCTAAACAATAGATACAGATCCCATTTACACTACTGAAAATGGTCTGTTTTCTTCCTTTAGGAATTTCCATTGAAATTATACTTTAAGTGGTGTTTTTAAGGTCGAAGGAGAACAGTAGTAAAATACGAGGAAGATATATTTTATACACTTTAAAATATATAAAACTGATAATTTGTTGTTTTTTTACGATGACCTTCCTACCTTAAATATTTTTCAATTTTCACAGACTAATGACTTTGATCTTTCCTTTATTTATTTAAACATGTTTTTTGTTTTATGTATCCCATAAACTCGTTGACTTAATGAGCACTGTCAGGTTGTTTCATGTGGAAAGTGTGCATTTACCTTAGTATAATTGGCATTTAATGTGAAAATGTGGCAATGTGTCAAGTGATTGCTTTTTAATCAAGTTTTTTTTTTCGCATGTTAACCATTTATATTTCACTTTTTTCCTTATTGAAATGAATTATAGTATTTAATTGTATTTATTATAACCAGCAGAGGTGTCAAGTGTCTTTTTCCCCTCCGCTTTTTTCTTCCTTTTTGATTTTTTCTCTGACTTTCGCTTTATTTGTTTAAGGATTACCGGCAGTAGTGGGGGCTCATGTCCCCGGGTTGGTTATGCCGACAGCGACCACAGTGAAATTCAATTTAAAACGTGCTTACGTGGCCAAGTTGGTCAAGGAAAATGGCCATCTCTGCAGCTACTTTTATTCTCATAGTGCTCTTTTTGGGCCCAAACATACAGTTTAATATTGCAGAGGCCAAAGTGCTTGTACTTATTGAAATGTATACTTTATATCCGTTTTTCTTGGTTAATTTCCCATACATATATACACTCTTGCAGAAGCCGCAGTTTTGGTTTATTCTTTTAATATACGCAACAGGAGAATTATCCATAAAACATTGTGTGCTGCTGTTTTTGTTGTGCTGGGCTGGGCCCTGGTAAAAGTTTTCTAGTTCCCGCACAGCTGGTGCAGGATGCGTCTTTTCTTGATTACAGCGTCCTTTCCTCAAGGAAATAGGGGGAACTATGCCGGTGAAATGAATAGAGCACCGAATTTGGGGGCTTTCGTATTGGGAAATAGTTTTTAAATTTATTGCAGGCATGAAAATATGTTTTTTTTCAGATATTTGCAAGGTGCAAATAATAGAATCATTTAAAAATATCTCTGTAAATTTATAGATTTCTTAGAGTTCTATTTTCTTGGCCTCTGCTGTGTGCGTGTGTTGTGTGCGTAACCTATGCGTGCCCCAAAGGGAGGCCAGCAATTGTAATTTACGACTCGCATACACGGGCAGACAAAGG